TTTTACAGAGTGTGATGGTGTGCAATATATACGTTGCCGACATTTTGAAAAAAAGTTTACGTGAGGCATTACACCGTCTACATCATTCCGAATGCATGTGGCTGACGTTATTTGTAGTGCGACTACAAATGTTCGCACTTACGAGTATGTACTTTTATCCGCATGATTGTTGGCCTGCCCAGTCCTGGATGTGAGCTGTATGATGAGGTCGTCACTTCATATATGAAAAGAACTGTTTGATAATACCCCAAACATTTCTGGTGGACAAAATTCCTCTCAACGTGCAGAGCACCCATCTGAGTCGCTACTTTAAAATTACACGATTTGGTCCTAACCTTAGTAACCTAATGCACGATCTCATGTCACCTATGCCATGGCCGGAGTTACGCCCTTGGTCACCCTCGGCCGAGCGGTGGTGCCCTGTCTTCACCGGGACTCCAGTCGGGCGACTACGGCTGTAACGTCCCGGCGGAGTTAAAGGTCAGCGTTGTAGGCGGCAGAAAGGTCGATTACCTGTAGAAAAAGGTGAACGGGATCGGCAGAAAGGCGGACGACTCATCCACCATCTCACCGATCGTCGACTCACCGAACATTGGCAAGACGGTAGATGCGATTTCATGAACATTCGCCCGATGGGTGGATCCTCCATCCATCCATCCACCACCTGTCGGCTACAAGCGTGGCCTGCCGCAAGCGAACTCGCGGTTCAGGCACGCGGATGATTTCGCCAAGTGGATGGCCTATATTGTGCATGTGAAAAAGAAAACGCTCGGGAAACGGGGGCGCAGCCGACCCATCATCTTGCGCATTTTACGCAGTTCGCGCACAGTCTGAAGTCTGTCGATGGCTTCGGGCAGTCAACTAAGATTCTGTATCAAAGCATGCCATCCAGACTAGATCCAGTACGCCAACGCTTATCTGCTGCGTGAAGTAGATTTCCTGCCAAGTTTCCTGACGAACACCTGTTGGCCACTTGGTATTAATAATTTCATTATGGCCGCATGTACGGGTTGGCTGCATGCACGGGTGACCTTTCTGGTTCCGCACGGGTGCTGGCTGCGTGCTCGGGAAGTCGCAACAGGTTTTGGCTGCGTGCGCGGGTTTTTGGCTGCGTGCACTTTTACGCTAAAATATTTTTGAATTTTACTTGTTAAATTATAATTTCACTGCCTTTTTTTCATAGATTTTTCAGCCGCTTTTGGGATATGTTGTGTTTTGTGATATGCACCAATCCAGGTACACAATAGTTCAAGACATTTTTTATCCAGATATACAGTAGTTAAAGAAATTTCAACCTCGCATAATTTCCAGTTCAAATGTTGCCATGTTCCTGGGCAAACTGTAAACAAATGCGGTGTCCAATGCCTAGGGTTGTTAACGGTGCGGTGCGGTGTACACCGGTGTGCCTTCGGTGCGGTTTTTACAAGAAATCGCACTTACCTTACCGGTGTAAAGCGAAAATCGCACCGGACGGTGCGGTGAAAAATAAAAATCGCACCGCAATTTTTCACACCGCACCGCACCGGTGTGCACCGGTGTAGCACACGTTAGTAGAAGAAAAAGCAACAATTAGCAATTTTATCACTTATCAATCGCCAGAACTTCTTAGCACTGCTAGCTTTCAGCCTTCTAAAGGCATCACCAGCAGGATGTATCCAATCGTAGCAAAACTGTAATGAAGACGTGAAATATCGAAAACAATTTCCCTAACAATATTTGTGACGAAACCAAAATCAACGTAGAGCGTGGAAAACCAAGCCGTCATATTATTACGCAGCAATGTTACACATTTTCTTTAATCTTATGGCAGCCCGGTTGTTGCAACAGCTACAAGTTGAAACTTGTGACTGCGAGTCTGAGTGAGCAATAGCATTGAGTAAGTACTACGTACTTACTTTGTCATACCGACTGATACGGTACTGACTTACGAGCGCCACAGCCCGTGCTCCCCGTGGGCATGTGCCCATCCAGCAGCGTCATCGCATAAAAAATGTTTTAAATTTTTTAAAACACTACGAATTTAAGATATCTTCGGTTAACCGGTGGTTAACCGGTGTACGTCAACGCGGTTACCCAACCGCACCGGTGTGCGCCGGTGTGGTTTTTCTCAAAAACCGCACCGCCTGTACCAATTTTTTTTCGAAATCGCACCGCAATTTTTTCAAATTGCACCGGTGCACTGGTAAAAAACCGCACCGTTAACAACCTTACCAATGCCATAGCACTGACACCCTATATTCAACGCTTGTAGCCGGCAGAAAGGTTTACGGGTTTATGGTTTACGATCAAAGGTGCCGCGTAAACCTTTCCGCAGAAATCCGGCAGAAAGGTTAACGGATCCGGCAGAAAGGTTTACGCGGTTCGGCAGAAAGGTTTATGCGGCTTCTTTGATCGTAAACCATTAACCCGTAAACCTTTCTGCCGGTGACACACGCGGAATCATCCACCATTAAGAATTAAATTCTGTCTATGTGATCACCTAGTTTTCAACGAGGGGGGTAATCGGAGAATGTGCAGGGATAAGAACCTGCGACCGAAACGAGCTCTTCAAGTATATTTTGATGTTTTTCTCTTGAAAACATTAATGTTCAGTACTAGTTTGAATAGATTTGTTATCGTGGGTTATATTAATTTTTATTTTATCACCACTGGATTGCAGCTTGATTACAGAGACTGGTCATCCCCCGGTTAAAGTCAGAACCATAAGTGTGTTTTTATTTCATATGGAAAAAAAACTGGGAAAGGGGCATACAAGATACAACAGTGCGAACAAAGTACCTAAACCAACCAACTGCCCGATTAAAGTTGGGCCATTTCTGGAAATATTACTAGCCTGGGCAGTAGTTCGTATTGGCTTTGGAAATACTAGTACTTAATAATTAACTTTGTTGCCAGTAGAAAAGTTGATTTACTGAACTGTATGACAGAAAGACTTACTGCTACGCCATTAATGGACATCCACTTAAACCGCCCCAGCGCTAGCATCAGCTCTTGGTAGTGGTAATCTTCCTCCCAGCTGGAGTATAATTTACCGCTTCGAGATAACGGTTGGCAAACTGCAACCAGATCAAAGCGACTTGGACAAACGCAATAATGATGTTGACTGTCGTTGTCAGTGGCTGACAACGACCGTAAACATCCTTACAGCGTCGGTTTGGTGACAGCTTACCACCAACCTGTACCCCGTCATCACAGCCGCAAATGCCTGTCGAAAGACAATTGCTCCGGGCAGAGATTGCGTTTTTAGCCGACCAAAACATCCGGACGACCAAAACGTCCGGCGGACGTTTTGGTCGGCTACATGCGTTCATTACTAAAGAGCACAGTCTCTGTCCAGAAACGATTGTCCGAGTCTTTTGGACTGAAATGTGGTGTTGACTGCTCGTCTAACGGTGGCAGGGCTACAGTGGGAGAGAAAGAAGCATGCAGCAAAGGCTAACATCTTAAGGACCAGTAGCAGATAACTGCAAAGGCATGCGCAGCTTTACGACCGACAGAAATGATATCGTATAGGCATATAACCGTGGAGTTACAAGCAGCTTTGCATTTATTTAATTTGCGTGTCGATTCAGTAACAGACAAGAAGCAACGTTATTCTTGAATTAGATACTGACAATAATCCGGAAACGTCGCACCGCTGATTTAGTGCATTATTACATGCACGACATTTCCAGATCACGAACGCAAAAAGTGCGTAAACAAGAATGGTATGCCGTCCAGATAGGCTTACGCCTAATTGGATACAAAGTATCCAGGTGGGATGCAACATGATTATAGCGAATCGATATTTTCTCTGCCAAATAATGCCTCGATTCAAGCGCCTAATTCCGAGGATCCATACGCGCGCGTGCGTTAACTTCACAATAGACACTGGTTGGAATCGCACAGCTAATCGTTTTGCAGATAATCTTAATCCGACTGTATGCGTACATAATCTGCAATCCTGAGATGTTGCCGGGTATGGTCAACCTAATCATGCCTACGTGAAACCAGCTGCGTGCCAACATGGAAGCCGCTTCTACTATGTTCATTTCACCCTTCTTCCTTAGATATCAAAGCGGCATTTGGGAATAAATCTTCGCGTCTTCCCTATCTAAGGCGCAGCAGCAGTCCGGATTGAGGAACATAGCAGGGTGGTAATGGTTACTGGAATATATTGGTGCCTTACACTAATCAGCAGCGTTAAATACGTGGCAAAGAGAAATTGCCGGGAAAATTTAGAAGAGATACATGTACAATTATTATACAACCACACTATTTTATTATGGTGCAAGTGTTGCGGCCATCATGGCGATTTTGGCACCGTAATGGTTTCCTTTTACCGAAATCTAGGCACATGCATTATCAACATTCTCGCCTTAAGGTTCCGAAAAGCAGAAGTTAATGTAGCATGAATACGGAGGTTACGGTCGGACGGTAGTCTGGCGCGTGAACAATTATGGGCGTCGCTGTTGCTGATAAGCACAGGCCAGGCACTACGTACAAGCAGTTCTGATTCAGAGTAGCAATAGCCGCTCTGTAAGTTTTTTTAATTGCACTATTTACAACTACAGATTACCCCAGTGGCGAATCTAGGCGGCTTTCGGAGGGGGGGCAGAGAACTCACATCAAAAGGGGGAGTATTCTCTCGATTTTTTGCTCGTAAAAAATTTTGCAGTGTACCCCCTTCTTGCGAATTTTTTGACGTCCGAGTTACCGGGGGGGGGGGCCTCGAGAGCCCCCCCCTTAAATTCGCCACTGGCCTGACCCCACACTACTAGTGGCGTAATTAACTGACGGACATCAAAATATTGTCCTAATGGAGCCAAAGAAAGCACTATGCAAAACTTGCTTAAAGATTGCAACAGTAAGTACTAAGTACCATTTCCGGGCGGAAATGGTACTAGTGATACTGACGCATACTTACAAGGCTGTAAACCAAGTTAGAACAAGTTGAAGAAAAAATAATTCGAATTGAAGGAAGGAAGCATGCCAATCTAATTTTAATTCACGGTGTTGATCCAAAAAACCCCAATGCTCGATGTATCATGAATCTGTACTTGAAAATTTGCAGCAGTCGTTAACAAAACACTTCGATTACGAAAATTAGTAGTGTACTAAATTTTTTGACTGCTGCTTTTTGATTTGCAGTCACAAAAATTTTCGAGATCCTATTTTAAAAAAAGCAACAGGCTGCCAAACTAAAAGGCATGAACATAGCGCCCTTAATGTCAGGTAAAACCGAAAATTTCATAGAAATGAGGGAAAACAGACATGATCCAGCAGTGGCTCAAACTGTTGAAGTAAGTTGGGTTAATTGGCGGTGATGTACATGTCTTGCCGCCTTTCTTTCGCAACACCTTGTTACGATTTTCCAGGCTTTCTTCCCATAGTCCGGACTGACCAAGCAGTAGACGAGGAAACTCAGAGAATAATTCGCGAAGTACGAATGAATCCTTATCGCTTCAAACACCGTGAGTGATGCATCCGGTACCCGGTACGCGCACAGATTTTCCAGCAGTTCGTACATGATGAAAGGCGCTTTCAGTACGGCATTCATACAGCTGGCAAGATCAGCAGGCGCACAGCCGCTATGTGTCGTGACGGGCGAGGATTGTTATTGGCGGCGACTTGGGGAGATTTGTACCGGCACATCAGGAACAAGATAACCACAACATTCGATGAGAGGATGGCAAAGAAAGTGAAAACGATGATAAATGACTGCAAATTAAATCCAGAAGAAATTTGTTGCACTATAGCACTTCGATTTCGTTCGCAAACTGGTCACTTTTTGGACACGGATCCCCACATCGATCACCCAAACTTTTTTAAAACCTTTTTTAAAAATCAAACTTTTTTAAATCAAACTTTCTTAAAGATCAAACTTTTTTAAAAATACCGGATCTTAAAAATGATAGTTTTACGCATTTCGAGTAGATACATTTTTTCTTTTAGCTTAAGATCGCGCATTACCACAAGTACCCATATGATAACCACGATTACTGATCTTACGAAAACGGAAATATGTGTACAAAAGCTCTAGAAATAACTGCAGAAACCAGTGAACTGGTATTTGTTCCGCGCTATCGTTTCTTAGGTTTTATTTACAAAATGAAAATCAGTTGACTTAAGGAGTGAAGTAAACTAAACTGTTTATCCTGCGCGTTTAACAGATTTTTTAAACATGGGTGATCGGTGTACTGGTCCGAATACTAAACAAAATTGGTTGACGTGCGAAGTCAAAATACCCTAGTTAAAACAAGACTGAACAAGTTCAGAGTGCTGTACTTATAACTTCAGTTTCTCCGTCATTAACATATCTACATATTCTCGTGTACGTGACCTTTGGTCACATTTTTCGCACCACTTCTTTCGTGTGAACGCGGCTCCACTCCATCAACCAACGACTATGCGGCTGAACTTCGTAGCCGTCCGACAAGGAGAAGGTTTTGATATAGTCGAAGAGCCACATCACAACAGCCAGCATCACGAGCAGGATAATGACAGCTCGTATTCGGCTCGCTGTAACGACTGTCCGACTCTTCAATGGGAAGAGAACGTTGATGAGATGAGCAAGATTGAAAACCAATAGTGTCCTACAGGTTTAAAACTATTTGTGACTAGCGTGACCGCGGTCGTGACAGCTCAAGAGGTCGCGGGACATTTCGTCGTGGGACATTTTGCCACACGTTTTTCGTCGCAGCGGCTAATCTGTTTTGGGACAAGTCGTTTTGCAGCCGTTTTGCTGTGTGACACTTGATCGCGCGACTCGTGGGGAGTCGAAAAATTATCGACTGGTATATGGCAGCGAACAGTCACATGACTATTTGCCTCAAAAACGGAATGTCCTTAAACGAAATATCCGTAAAACAAAAAGTCCCGTAACGATCTCTCGCGTAGCCCGTACTCGAAAGGTGACTTTAAGGAGCAAGTAGGCAAGCTGTCATAAGTTCTTAACGGAGCAGTCTCGAAATGTTTTACCAGTCGGAAGCTATGAACCCAACGTCAGCAGCTGTAACGAAGAAGAATCCACTCCTTAAGGTGGATGCATTCTCCTGTGGAAAAATAAATCCTTAGAATTTTAGTCGTCAAGATAGCCTCGCCCAGGTTGTAGCGCGCCTCATGCATAAATAACAGTAGCAATCCACAGGCTTCGAGTAATTGCAGGACGCAGAAGTTACAGAACTAGCAATAATTATAAATCTTACAGATTTGTCGAGCTCCAAAATGTAGTACGAAATGCAGTTGTGAAGTATGTGGAAAGTACGTAATAATAATGAGTAGCTTTAATAATACATGTTCACTGCAGCTGGCCAACTAGATGACTAAATCAGTAACAAGTAGAACAGTACAGCAATAGAATACAACCTGAGTTGCTAGGATGTAAACAACATGTGTACGGAGTACAACAACATGAATTCACGAGACACCACACTCTTCCCCACGTATCGAAGGAATGTGATACGTATGAATAAAGAATTGTATAAAAGAATGAATTTGTATTGTACTAGCGCTAAAGTAAATTGTAATGTAAAACGGATAAGTAATTGTACGAAGTAAGCAAGTACAGTATGTAAAGTATTAACCAAGCAATAATAATCCAGTAGTACTTATCATTCACCGGAGGCAGAGTACTGTACTGGCAGAACTTGTACTGTGCAGCAGTTGAAATCCATAAAATGAGTACGGCGCCGTATGTGGGTGGATTCTGCTGCAGGATCCATACTGACCCAGGTAGTACTAGTTCACCGGATGTACGCATCTTCCAAACTGGTACGCAACGGTATCCAGGGTGTACGGCGTAAGAAATGCCTGTATTTCAGTGAAGGTACTGGGAAGAACTTGTACGTTGGAATTCAAGCACGTACGGAACGTCGCTGGTAAATTGAATAGGCTGTACGAAAGCCAGTGTATGGTAGGTCAGCCATGGCAACAGCCATGTAGGTCCTTGCTTTCAGTGCGAGGAGCCAGGTTCTTCAGTTGTCCTTGAAGAAGGGCGTTCTGCAAAGAACCAAAACGGTGTCCGCTGCTGCTGGAATGAACGGTCAGCAGACTAACTGCGGACGGTGGCTGCATGTTGCCGTAAGGCTGCGGATTTCCGTGGAAGCCAAAATTGCTCCGTAAGGAACAAACGGCAGATACTGCACTTCGGTACCGACGTTACGGAAATGGAACCATGCCAGCATCGTGGCGGAGGATATGTGGCAAGCATTCGTTGCCGAAAAAGGAACGGGGATGACCTTGTTCACGTGGGCGGAGTCCATGGTTAGAATGCATGCGATCCTCTAACCCAGGCAGAACTGTCCATGGAGTGGCGGTGACGGAATAGGACGTAGTAATATGGCACGAAACCAGTATAACAGTAGTACATAGTATGCATGAGATCGAATAATCCTTCACGCCATTGTGAAGTATGTGGAAAGTACGTAATAATAATGAGTAGCTTTAATAATACATGTTCACAGCAGCTGGCCAACTAGATGACTAAATCAGTAACAAGTAGAACAGTACAGCAATAGAAACAACCTGAGTTGCTAGGATGTAAACAACATGTCGACGGAGTACAACAACATGAATTCACGAGACACCACAGCAGTGAAACCATGTAAAAACAAAAGGATTACAGTTACGATTTAAACACAAGTGTTTGTTGTCTACAAATTGCAAGAAATAATTGTGGGGGATTTGGATAATTTTTGCACAGAGTATATTACGTCACTCCATTTGTGTTTTCTGAGATGCTGCGTGTTATCCGTTCTTAACTTTGAATATACGTCGTATAAGGATCGTCAGTTTACATTTCAACTTGTACAAAGTCTAAACTTTGGCCTGTGTTTAACTAATTCCACAGTCAAAATTAATGGGTTGTTAAGACTGGTCTAACACCGCCGGTGCGGCAGCTTCCGGGACAAAAACTGACACAACATTTGTACACCTTCAAAGAGTTATTGGTCGGGGCGTCGAGCATTCAGAGGCTGGTTTGTTATCCGATCTTCTAAATAATCTTTTGGTCGAATGTCCAAACGCCAGCAGAATTTTGTTGCCGACCGAATTTTTATGTAGTCAAAACGCCGGCAGAATTTCTTGGTCTATGTGCATTAATTTCTTTCATTTTACCTTTTTTTGTTTATTAATTTTTTGTCTTCCTTTTTTCTGACATTTAATCTTTTTGGAATTTGCTTACAGCAACAACTCCCCAGCTGGATGTTGCTCAAACAGTTCTCACGCCCATGTATCTGTATACAAATCATGTAGCTCCACGCTGTCATAAATATTGTAACAAAGGTTTTGGGTGCGCGCAAGCGAAAGTTTCGCGTATGTAGCCGGCAGAAAGGTTTACGGGTTTATGGTTTACGATCGAAGGGGCCGCGTAAACCTTTCCGCAGAAATCCGGCAGAAAGGTTTACGATACGTTAACCATCCTGCCGGATTGTGTAAACCTTTCTGTCGGCGGCACCATTGAAGCTTAAACCTTTCTGCCGGCGGCATCCATTGATCAACAATGGCATCACAATGGCCATTTTTTGTAAGCGCGCGACCTATCGAAGATAGTACGTACTTGCACAGTAGAGGGAGTTGCGGGTGTACAGGTATATACTAAGTGCAGCTTATCATGATTTCGCAAAAATTGCAGTAAGATGTAGATAAGAAATTGCTGGATATCCTTACGACACCGCACGCGACTACTGCAAATACTGGCCTCGAAAGAACCTACATCGTCAGCAATTTTATTGCTCAATCATGATGTGCTGCACTGGGCATATATCTGTGCGTCTGCAACTCTTTCTACTGTGCAAGTCCCTATCACAAATTCCGCGTCTACAAACAATGGCATTGTTGTGTCACTGTCGATCAATGGATGCCGCCGGCAGAAAGGTTTACGGCTCCGGCAGAAAGGTTAATGCAATTCGACAGAAAGGTTTACGCGGCTCCTTTGATCGTAAACCATTAACCCGTAAACCTTTCTGCCGGTGACAAACGCTCCTTGGTATCGTTCCCTGATCATATCTACCTCTCATGTCCCTGATATAATTTCATAAGATAACCGATTAGGGAGTTTGTTTCCGCCGTCATATTCCATCCGAAAATCGGCTTCAAAAAGAGTTCGTAGAAAAATTTCAAACGCTTTGAAAAGATTTTAGCCGTGCGCACACCCGAAACCCCGTACAAACACCCGTGCACGCACCATCGACCTAATCATTTATTTCCGTTTTGCATCCAGTTTTGTTGGTGGGTTTTTCAGTTTTCAGTGTCGACCGTAGTCGCGACTCTCTTAGGTTTTCTGCTGAATAACTGCTGAGGTTAGAGAACTGCTTGTTCCAAACATATTCAAATATACACTACAAAAATGACGAACTTTTGGTGACTATTTACTGCATATCGACTATGCGATTTGCAGATTATCGAAAATATGAGGGTGCTGTTACAGTGGTTCGGATCAAATGGCTTCACTTATTGCATACAGAAAAGGACGTAAGCCACGAAGCGCTGTGCTTCACTGCCTGCTGCCTGCCACTACAGGTAAGTATTGCTTAGCATTTTATGTGGATGGGCATAAGAATAACTTAGTGCTGCTTAGTGTTTATCATACGAAATGACCTTTGCAGTTAGGCACACTCATTGTATTTATGTGAAATCCGGTTTCCATTCGTCGCTCTAAGCAATCCGCTTTCTGCGCGCCATCGGCTCATTTGGCCAGTTTGTTCGCCAGTTTACAGGTTCAGCATGATGAAATGGATAGTAACCGGATACGACATGTGCAGTGCAGCACCATAATTCGAGGTGTTAAAAGCCTGCAGACAGAATATAATATGGTTACATTACGGATGCGGATAATAATAACAGAATCTGATGTCAATGGTGCTCAACTTAGCAAAATATTTGCAACGGTCATTCTGTATGTCTGTGTATGGCATTCCTTTGAGCTTATCAATGATAGACATTTTAAGCAAGCAGTTTGTTGTGTGGTGCTTTCTTAAGTTCGTATTCGACGAAACACAAACTGAACCGTTTTTATTTGATCTTTTGAGTTTGGGTATTTGCTTTCAGCGCCTGTCCGATTAGCATTAGCTGGCTACTACAAATCTTGGCACCTGTCATTATATATAACATTCGGTCCATGTCAATATCTTTTGAACGGTACACAGTATTTGAACAACATTGCTGGCTCACTTATAAACATCCTGGTTAATTCAGCTTTAATGGTTATAAAACAAAATTGTGTTGCGCGTCATAATGAGTAGCTTCCGAGCATTTTCCCGAAGTGCTCCAAGGTTTAACGCCGTTGTTGTGGAGGGCGGTGACGGTCTGCTGCAGCACTGTTGGGTGATTAATGTTTATGACGGAGGACTTATTGTCGATTTCGACGTTCCCGACAGAAGAGCGGAGCCGGTTAAATACGGACACGCATTCCATCGCTATTCGCAAGGGGAATGCTGCTATGATGAATATGTAGTATACCACTTTCGGAATGCTCTACAACGCGAACCTATTCCGCATATTGAAGTGCTGGGACGCTTTACGTGCAATCAACCGTGGACATGGTATCCCGCTCAGCTTCTCCTCGGTTGCTTGTTGTGGAGAGAATTTGTCTTGGTGGAGATAAGGCTTCGTCATCGCGTGGTCCGCCAAATAGTTTCTGCTAATGCATTGCGCATTGTGCCGGCAACTGGAGACGCGGCCAAGGAGGTCCGCAAAGGTGCGTTTGTTATTAAATCATGCTCCTTGGCCGAAAACTTATGGTGTGTGAATCCAACTGAAATTAATCAATGGAATCTGACCAGCGAAGCGTTTCAAGCCTACGAAAGAGAACCAGGTGATAATTCACGACTCCATTCAGCTTGTCCGGTTTATGTAGACCATGGAAAGCTGGTTTATCTCCAGCTCACAGGCGATGTGGCGTTAGAAGATGACCACACCGGTTCAGTGGTAAGAAATAACTAAAACCTATGAACAGCTGATACGGTCATTTTGAATGTAAATCCAAGCACGTGAAAGCAAAAAGGATTTGGATTCGAGTCGGTTTACAGATCGTTCAATGGTGCCAACACACACCATTAAACCTCCCGTTGGCCATTTACTAAACAATGTCCCTGTTTACGGATAAGTAAATGTTTAATGCGCTAAAGGTATACTCGTATACCTCGTTAAGGTATACCCGCTCAAGGTATATTGACGGTATTAAATATTGTAGGGACATGCATACTTAGTATAGCAACTTTTTGCGTTTCATTATCAGCCGCTAATCTGCGGGGTATCCTAGTCCCGTAACAAAAATCTAGCTTGCTGAAATGAAACATTAGAAAAACAAATAATTTTCAGATATCGTATGTTGTTCGAATGAAAGCGGACATGGAAAGGCGTCCGTGCGAAGGCTGGCTGCTGGATCAATTGCGCTGGATTCCACCGGCGAAACCCTTTTCTCCACACTCATCCGAAGACTCCACTGCATCCATATCAGACTTAGGTCAACTCCCACTGGAGATTCTTCAGCTGACCTTTGACTGTCAGCTCACTGTGGATCGCGTCAAGTGTCGCCGTGTTTGCTCGCTGTGGAACGCGCTGCTTGGCACAGCGGCGATCAGTGCCGTGGTGTGGGTAACCTTCTCTGCGGCCAAAGTTCCCGACAGAAACACAGCTTCCCATGCCGTGCGCGATGTGTGGCGGCGTTCTGCGTCCACTGTTGGTGCCTCCTTGTGGATGTGCATCACGTCTGCTACTCAGCGGATTATTATTAGCAATGCGCTCTTTGATTGCGTTCATAAGGTCATGAGCGATTGCATGCGTATCATCTCGTTGGTTAGCAAGGATTCGTGCGCCGGCAAAAGATTTACTGTCATTCTGCACAAAGCCCATTTGCATCTGGGCAGTTGTTTCTTCAACAATATGAATAAGACTTCCTTTGGTAAGGAAGGTGAGGAAGACAGAGTGGCCTGCGTAGTTGATACGCTGTTGTGGAAAGACTGTACGATGGGTGCCGCATACGCTAACGATGTCTGGCTAGGCAAACTTTTGCGCTGTAGTAGAATACCGGCACATCCAGGAGACCTGCAGTTTCCATCCAAAGTGCGCTGTTTCGTAGAAAACCACCTTTGCGGCGTATGTTCTGCTTCATTCGAGCGCTCTGATTAGCAAGATTGCCTATTCGGTGGTACTGCTGTTGTGGCTCATACAGGAAAAATGTTTTTTGACACCGTGGTTGTTGATTTTGTTATGGTCTGGGGTTTTATGTATTTATTGTGAAATGCTATGGCGAATTCTGAATGTTTCGTCTTCAGTTTGTGTTACCTATTATATGATGTAACTGATATTTTTAATGTGTATCCATTTGGTGTGCAGATTAGTTTAGTTTATTTTTTATTTGTGATTCGTTGATGTATTCTTTACTTATTTCAGTTACTTGTATATGTTGGCCCTTGAGCGCAGTATTCGACTCCTTTTTCGAAGTTTCCGTTTTGAACAGTAATG